TTTGCAGTCTATTGTAAGTATTCAACTCTGCCATTATACTGTGAACGCAGCCGCAGACAGTACTAAACTGATGGGCTTGGTTGTGTTACAATAAAACTTTTACTTATAAACACAAGTAGTATTTTTCAAAGTTCTGTCTGAAATGATTCTCTTATTTTCTTAAATTTTTCATATTTTGCATTACTTTGATGTTTTTTTTCCCTATTCTGGGAAATTTCCTCTACTTTCTCTTTCATCTCTTCTTTGGATAAGATTTTTAATTTCTAAGAGCTTTTTTTCTTTGTTCCTTTTTCATTACATCCTATTCTTTATGTATGCAGTACCTTTTTTCTTTATTAATTGTACCCTTTTCTTTATTAATTGTACCCAATTATTACAATTGTTCCTCTTTTTTTTCCCTTTTAGAACTCATTATCTCATATTAACTCTATTTTGTGCTTTCCCCTCCCTCCCCAAGTATTTGAATTGATCTCTTTTGTGTTATGGGCTTTTCTTAACTATCTGGAGATCCTTGACTGTTAGTTCACACTTAGGAATGGGGTCCTTAAAAGCTGCTTTGCCCTCGCTGATTTGGCTTAGTGAGTAGAACATTGGCCTGTTAGACTGAGGGGTTTTGGGTTTGATTCCAATCAAGGGCACATGCCCAGGTTGCAGGCTTTGTTCCCAGTGGGGGGTATGCAGAAGCTGGGTTGCAGGTAGCTGATCAGTGATTCCCTGTCATCTTTGATATTTAAACTTCTCTCTCCTTCTCCTTTCCTCTTGGGGAAAAAAAAGAATTGAATTTATTTTTTATTTTTTATTTTTATTTATTTATTTTTTAAATTTTTTCCCTCTAGTGGTTTATTGCTGTCATTACACTGATTTTTTTTTTTTTTTTAAAGCTGCATGAGTGAGCTTCAAATTAAACTCATCATCTAGCTTGTTGTTAATTTACTCCAAATGACAGAATTCTTTTATGTAGGGCTATTCACTTTTTCCAGAGAGGAATTCTCCACTTTCTTGATTGGTAGGGTCCAAGCATGGATATGAGTGTAAGAAAGGATAGTTCAGGGAGAGTGGGACAAGGTATTCTCACTGTATGTCATTCATATTTTTATTTATTCCTCTGTTTTTAGTCCTGTGTCTCATCTTGCCTTCCAGGGTGGGATTTATAAGGGTGAGTCATTATGTATCTCTATAATACCTCTATGGGTCTTATCTTCCTTTCTTCCTTCCTTCTTTCCTTCCTTCCTTCTTTCCTTCCTTCCTTCCTTCATTCCTTCCTTCCTTCCTTCCTTCTTTCCTTCTTCTTTTCTTTCTTTTTTTTAATTAAATATTTATTGTTCAGATTATTACAATTGTTCCTCTTTTTTTCCCCCCATAGCTCTCCTCCACCGATTCCCACCCCACCCTCTGCCCTTTACCCCCACCCTCCACCCCACTGTTCTCATCCATAGGTGCACAATTTTTGTCCAGTCTCTTCCCGCAACCCCCACACCCCTTTCCCCCAAGAATTGTCAGTCCACTCCCTTTCTATGCCCCTGATTCTATTATATTCACCAGTTTATTGATTTTTAGATTCACTTGTTAATAGATAATGTATTTGTTGTTCATAATTTTTATCTTTATCTTTTTCTTCTTCTTCCTCTTCTTAAAAAATACCTTTCAACATTTCATCTAATACTTGTTTGGCAGTGATGAACTCCTTTAGTTTTTTCTCGGCTGTGAAGCTCTTTATCTGCCCTTCAATTCTGAGTGATAGCTTGGCTGGGTAGAGTAATCTTGTTTGTAGGTTCTTGCTATTCATCACTTTGAATATTTCTTGCCACTCCCAGCTGGCCTGCATAGTTTCTGTAGAGAAATCAGCTATGGGTGCTCCCTTGTAGGTAACTATTTTTCTCTTGCTGCTTTTAACATTCTCTTTTTATCTTTTGCTCTTGGCATTTTAATTATGATGTGTCTTGGTATGGTCCTCTTTGGATTCCTTTTGTTTGGGGTTCTGTGCACTTCCTGGACTTGTAAGTCTATTTCTTTCACCAGGTGGGGGAAGTTTTCTGTCATTATTTCTTCAAATAGGTTTTCAGTGTCTTGCTCTCTCTCTTCTTCTGGGACTCCCATAATTCTGATGTTGGTTCGCTTGAAGTTGTCCCAGAGGCTCCTTACACTATCTTCATATTTTTTTATTCTTTTTTCTTTTTGCTTTTCCGGAGGGGTGTTTTTTGCTTCTTTATATTTTAAATCTTTGACTTGATTCTTGGGTTCCTCTAGTCTGCTATTGGGTCTCTGTATAACATTTTTATTTCAGTCAGTGTATGTATAATTTCTGGTTGGTCCTTTTTCATATCCTCAAGGGTCTGGCTAAATTTATTGGCCTTTTCTAGGAAATTCTTGAAAAACCTATAACCGTGGTTTTGAACTCTATATCCATTAGTTTTATTTCCTCCATTTCTCTCATTTGTGATCTGTTTCTTTGTCTCCACATTTTGGCTGCTTCCCTGAGTTGATAGAGTGGCTTTGTGTGCTCGGTGTCCTGTGGAGTTCGTGGCTCAGCCTCCCCAGTTACCTTGGTGGTTAAGCCTTGATTGTTGTTGGTACACTGAGAGGAATTGACCTTCAGGCCAATTGGCTGTGAGGATCAGCTGTGTCTATGATGGGAGAACTTATGTGCTGGAGACACCCTTATGATGCAAGACACCCTTCAGTGGGGCTTGGGTGCTCACTGAGTCTGCCCCCTGAATGTATCTCTTAGGATCTGAGGACTTGTAATCTGGATGGTCCTACTCTGACCCCTGGGTACACTGGCTCTTGGATCTCCAAGGAGGTGCTAATTTAGTCTCTGGCAGTGATGAACTCCTTTAGTTTTTTCTCTTGGATCTCCAAGGAGGTGCTAATTTAGTCTCTGGCAGTGATGAACTCCTTTAGTTTTTTTCTCGGCTGTGAGGCCACTCAGCTGGAGCTATGGAAAGATCTGCAGATTCCTCTTCTTTGTTTTGGTTTTAGAAGTGCCTAAGTGAGGTCCAGCTGTGAAATAATGCAAGCTGCTGGGGTGCCTTGGGCCTTCTTTTTGATGTTCTGGGTCTTACTGACTCAGTTGCAGTTTGTTAGGTAAGTTTAGAATTCAAAGGACCAGGCCATTCATATGCAAAAGCCTCTGCACTCAGCTTGGATGGGAGGGAGTCTCAGGGCGGAGCAAACTGCAAAGGCTTCTTGGGGCGGAATCTTAAGGCGGAGCAAACAATAATGGCTTCCGGTCAGCCCTGCCCTAAGAGGCCCCTTGGTCTCAGTGTCCTGCAGTAATTGCTGCAAGCACCTCTGAGAGAAAGCCACCCTCAACTTTTGCCCACTGCAAGACAGTCCATTTTCTCTCTGTAGTAGTCTGGGTTCCCAGAGTCACACCCAAAACTGGAGTTCAGAGCAGTCAGGAGTTTTTGTCTCCCTCCCCATTGAGAAAGCCAGCCACGTACTCAGTTGCCTGCCCTTTCTGCGCATGCGCCTCTGTACCTCTGCATTTTACTTCCACAGCTCCTGTGAGTCTGAGTGTGCCTTTCTCTTTCCTTCTAGTTTTAGAATTTCCACTCAGCCAGCTCTCCTGTGGTTCTGGATGATTTCTGTTCTATCTTTTAATTGTAGTTTTGAAGTGATTGTGCAAGGCAGCAGTTCAGATGTTTACCTATGCCGCCATCTTGGGGCCCCCCCCCCCTTTTTTTTTAATTAATTTCAGAGAGGAAGGGGGAGAGAGAGGTAGAAACATCAATGATGAGAAAGAATCACTGATAGGCTGCCTCTTACATGCCCCCTACTGGGGATGGAGCCTGAAGCCCCACATGTGCCCTGACTGGGAATCGAACCGTGACTTACTGGTTCATAGATTGATGCTCAACCAACTGAGCCATGCTGTCCAGAAGTCCTAGCTTTCTGTAATTGGACAAGTCAGCAAAAATCCTTCTATTATTTTCTCTGCCAAAATGGGTGTAATCCTCTTTGTTCAATTAGGTCTCTGCTGTCACTTTTGGGTTTCTACTGATTAGTTCCTTTTATAAAAATTAATTAATTACTTTATTTATTATTTTTACTAGAGGCCCAGTGCACAAATTCGTGTACAAGTGGGATCTTTCAGCCTGGCCTGCGGGATCTGTGAAAACTGGCTCTCTGATGTCCCCTAAGGGGTCCCAGATTGAGAGAGAGCACAGGCCAAGTCAAGGGACCCCACCAGGGCACAATCGGGGCTAGGGAGGGACGTGGGAGGTTGGCCAGCCAGGGAGGGATTGCAGGAGGGCTCAGGGTGTCTTCAGCCTGTCTTGTTCAGTCCCAATTGGCCACACCCCAGCAGCAAGCTAAACTACTGGTCTGAGTGTCTGTCCCCTGGTGGTCAGTGCACATTATAGCAAGTGGTTGAGTGGCCTTAGCACCATTAGCATATTACACTTCGATTGGTTGAACGGATGATCAAACGACCAGACACTTAGATTATTAGACTTTTATTACATAGAAAGAGAGACGTTAGAGAGATATAAACATGGGTGAAGGAGGAACACTCCCCAGTGGGTACTGAGCCCACAATCCTGGCATGTGCCCTAAATAGGAATTGAACTGTGACTTTTTGGTTCCTAGGTCAATGCTCAAACACTGAGCCACAACTGGAGGGGCTCCTTTTTTATTTTAATGAGTTTGTTGGATGGACTGGCATCAAACATGTTACCAATGTACCTTGTTAAACTGGAACTTGAGATTTTTTTTTTTTTAATATCTTTTTGGAAATGAGTAGTAGAAAATTTTATTTGCAGCTAGTTTTTTTGTGTGTTGTACCTCTATTTCTCTTTTTTTATGGAAATATTTCTATAGTACTTAGTATTAAAATATTAAATTATATGGAATTATATAAACTTGATCATGAAAAGCTCAACATACCTGCTCCTGACAGTAACTGACACCCACCTTAGCATTGCCAGGTTTTGTACGTACACATACATACTTCCTCCACTTTTTCTTTTTCTTTATTTTGCTTATTTCATTTTCTTCAGGTCTCCAGGAAACCTAGAGAAGAACCGCTATGGGGATGTACCCTGCCTGGACCAAACAAGAGTAAAACTGATAAAACGAAGTGGCCATACTCAGGTAGAAAGATAAATTCTATCTTTTCAGGATTACTGAGGGAAATTTAAGCCTCTTACAAAGTGAAGTTTACTAATACTATGAAAGAATATGGATTCTAAGTCAGAAAGATACTGTTTGAGTTTTTATGTTGCTACATACTAATCTATTGTTACCATAGGCAAGTATCTATATGTCCATCTCATAGTATTAAGTGGAGATCAAATGACATACTATATGCTAAGAGCACAAGGTATGGTATATTGTATGTGCCTGATAATTATTGCTCTAAATGCTAAGAGCACAAGGTATGGTATATTGTATGTGCCTGATAATTATTGCTCTGGTTGGTTGTGGCTTAGTTGGTTGAGCATCATTCCATGCACTAGGAGGTCATTCGTTCGATTCTGGGTCAGGGCACATGCCTGTGTTTCGGGCTGGATCCCCAGTGTGGGGTGTGCAAGAGGCAGCGATTGATGTTTCTCATCAATGTTTCTATCTCTCTCTCTCCTTCTCCCTTCTTCTCCCTGAAATCAATAGATATATATATTTTTTAATAACATATAATGCATTAGTAGAGATATTTAATGAAAATGTTGTTCAAACATTTAAAATCAGTGTTTCGTCCTCATTTGAATCTACTTTTTGAGTTAATATAAAAGTTTTCTAGAGCACATTATTTTTATTTCTTTTTTAAGTACTTGGCGATATCACTGGAAAGCTTATTCTAAACCATAAAAATCTATTAACATAACACTAGTTTTTTTAATTTTTTATTCATCCTGTACCTCATGCATTGTCTATAGCATAATCATTCAATTCTTTTCTTTTTTTAATATATTTTATTGATTTTTTTTTTTTTACAGAGAGGAAAAGAGAGGGATAGAGGGTTAGAAACGTTGATATATAATTGACATACCATACAATTTATCCATTTAAAGTCTATAATTCAATAGTTTTTAAAAATGAATTCACAGAATTGTGCAGCCAATACCACAATCAACTTTTTAAAAAATATATATATTTTATTGATTTTTTTTACAGAGAGAAAGAGAGAGGGATAGAAAGCTAGAAACATCGATGAGAGAGAGTCATCAATCAGCTGCCTCTTGCATACCCCCTACTGGGGATATGCCCGCAACCAAGGTACATGCCCTTGACTGGAATCGAACCCGGGACCCTTCAGTCCCCAAGCCGATGCTCTATCCATTGATCCAACCTGGCCTTGGCCCACAATCAACTTTTTAATCACCTGAAAAAGAAACTCCATTTTCCTAAGTAGAATTGCTAAGTCATATGTTAACTGTGTTTAGCGTTTTGAGGAACTGCCAGACTCTTTTCCAAAGTGCTTACAACATTTTACATTACTACTAGCAATGAATGAGGGTTTTAATTTCTCCACATTTTTGCCAACATTTATTATCTCTTACCTATATTCATTTTAGTCGATGTGAAATGGTATCTTATTATGATTTTAACTTGTACATCTTCTTAGGACAAATAGTTAAATTGCCCATTTTAAAGTTGGGTTGCCTTTGCCGTCACGACGTAGCTCTCTTGATTGTAGTGTCATCCTGTGCAGTAACAGGTTTGGGGTTTCATCCCTGGTTGGGGCACTTTTCAGGAAGCAACTGATAGATGTGTCTCTCTCATGTTGATGTTTCTTTTTCTCTCCCTGTCTCCCTCTCTAAAATCTATTTTAAAAATTAAAACAAAATTTGCCGAAACCGGTGTGGTTCAGTGGATAAAGCGTCGGTCTGCAGACTGAAGGGTTCGATTCCGGTCATGTGTGCCTTGGTTGCAGGCACATCCCCAGTGGAGGGTGTGCAGGAGGCAGCTGATCGATGATTCTCTCTCATCGATGTTTCTAACTCTCTATCCCTTTCTCTTCCTCTCTGTGAAAAAGTCAATAAAAATATATATTAAAAAAAATAAAACAAAATTGGGTTGTCTTTTTGCTGTTGAGTTGTGATAATTCTTTATATATTCTATTAGGTCTAGTAATAATTAATGTCGTTTTCTAATACTTTTTTAAATCAAATTTTTTAAACAATACAACAAAATTTAATCAACAATATAGTTGCTGTTGTTTTCTACTACTTGTGCCCAACGCTCAGGAAGCATTTTAATCCCTCTGTTGTAAAATTCTTGTGATTTTGATGCAAAAAATTCGGTCAATGCATTTTTGAGGCATTCTTCATTATTAAATTTTTTTCCAAGAAGAAAGTTTTGCAAAGAAGGAAACAAATGGTAATCGGAAGGGGCAATATCAGGAGAATATGCAGGTTGAGGGAGAACTTCCCATTCCAACTGGCGCAGTTTTTCAGCAGTGATTCTTGCAGTATGCGGTCGTGCGTTATCGTGGTGAAGAATTACCCCCTTCCGATTAATCAGCGCGGGTTCTTTTTCTCTTAAAGCTTGGGCTAACCTTTCCAATTGGGCACTATACACTGCACTTGTAATGGTTTGGTTAGATGGTAAAAGTTCATAATGAAGAATTCCTTTAAAATTCCACCAAACACACAACATCACTTTTTTCGCATGCAAGTCAGGTTTTGGCGTGGGCTGCGGAGCCTCATTTTTGTCCAACCATTGAGGCCGCCTTTTCAAATTAACATACTGCACCCATTTTTCATCTCCGGTAACAATTTGCTCTAAAAACGGCAAACGGTTTTGACGAGAGAGGAGCGAACTGCAAATTGTGACTCTTTGATTACGGTTGTTGGCGGTCAACTCATGAGGAACCCATTTTCCAAACTTTTGGACTTTGCCAAGTGCACGCAATTGATTGGAAATTGTTTTTGTGAACAATTTAAAGTTGTCGCAAGCTCTTGTTGGGTAATTTGAGGATTTTGCACCAAAAGAGCTTGAAGAGCTTCTTGATCAAAATTGGACACACGGCCTTGACCACTCTTGTCATCTAACGAAAAATTTCCCTCGCGAAATTTCTCAAACCAACGCTGGCATTTTCTGGCGCTAACTGCATCTTGACCAAGAGCACTACAGATGTTTTTTGCAGCCTCACTTGCTTTTCTTCCTAATTGGAACTCGTAAAGCATGCAGTGCCGAATATGCTCTTCATCCTCCATCTTCTTAGCCCTAGTTTTGCAACAAAAACCAAACCAGACACAAACTTTTTCAAGCAAAACTTGTTAATTGCACTTCACACGTTCTGTAGATACCACATGTTTGAAGGTTATGTCAATACAAGTCAACGCCAAGCAAGATTTTAAACGAATGTTTTAAAACGACATTAATTATTACTAGACCCGATAGTTATAAATCTCTTTTCAAATATATGCATTATGTGGGATTTTGTTTGTATGGTATCATTTGAAGCCCAAAATTTTTATTTTTAATGCAGTTGAATTTTATCTGTGTTTTTTTTTTTCCTTTGGTTGCTTATAATTTTTTTAAATATATATTTTATTGATTTTTTTACAGAGAGGAAGGGAGAGGGATAGTTAGAAACATCGATGAGAAACATCAATCAGTTGCCTCCTGCACACCTCCTACTGGGATTGTGCCCACAACCAAGGTACATGCCCTTGACCGGAATTGAACCTGGGACCTTCAGTCCGCAGGCTGACGTTCCATCCACTGAGCCAAACCAGTTAGGGCTAATTTTTAAAATATAGTTTATTGATTTCAGAGAGAGAGAGAAAGAGAGAGAGAGAGAGATCAATGATTAGAGAGAATCATTGATTGGCTGCCTCCTGCACATCCTATATTGGGGATCGAGCCCGCAACATGGGCATGTGCCCCGACTGTGATCTCTTTGTTCATAGGTCAACACTCAACCACTGCTGGCCAGGCTGCTGCTTGTGATTTTAGTGTCATATTTAAGAAGGCCGTGTCAACCTAATGTTAAAGGATTTAATCCTATAGATTCTTTTTTAAAAAATATATATATTTTATTGATTTTTTACAGAGAGGAAGAGAGAGGGACAGAGAGAGTTAGAAATATCAATAGGAGAGAATCATTGATCAGCTGTCTCTTGCACTCCCCCTGCTGGGGATGTGCCTGCAACCAAGGTGCATGCCCTTGACTGGAATCGAACCTGGGTCCTTTCAGTCCACAGGCCAACGCTCTATCCACTGAGCCAAACCAGTTTTGGCTAATCCTATAGATTCTTCTAAGAGTTTTATAGTTTTAGCTTTTACTTTAGGTCTGTGATCCATTTTGAGTTAGTTTTTGTGTATGGTGTGAGGAAGGATTCAGCTTGGTTTTTTTCTTTTTCTGCATGTAGATATCCAATTGTTCCAGCAATATTTGTGGAGGTGAGGTTTTGAATTGGCTTGGCCTTTTTGCTTCTCTCTTTTTTTCCTGACAAGAGTAGCCATACCCTTGGTTTTATTTACTTACTAGTACATTATTTTCCCACCCAAATGGTGTATTCCACATAGCTGCAATGATGTTTCCTTTTTATCATTAGACAGATTACATCAATGCCAGTTTCATGGATGGCTATAAGCAGAAGAATGCTTACATTGGTACACAAGGTAAGTTAGTTCACCCCTCACAAATTGGTTTTGAGTCATCTACCTGTAATTCTTTGCAGCAGATGATAGCATAATTTTTAAAGGAATGGTTACTTTCTGTGCTTTGGCCATTAGATCTTAGTTTTTCATAAAGATTGGGGGTTATTGAGGAAGGCAGATAAGAGGTGCGGAGTTTATACATAAGTTCCTGGAAACTCACTGCATAGAGATTAATTGGAAATTTCAACACACAACGCTACTACAATTTTTGGACTCTTAATATTGCCAACCCATGGAGATAGGATATCAGAGGATCTCATTGGCCAGTTAAATCTCTTTATGGCCAGTAGAAGGCCAGGAGTGGCAATGGACTTCCCGGAAATTGAGTTCAATCTTGAGTGGATGTTGATGTCCTGAGAAGCTTTGCTGATCCCATACTATCACAGAGCACCTCAGCAGTCTTCTGAGAGTGAAGTACTAGGCTCCCAGGGTTTCAGGTGTAGTTTTTATAAATGCTGCTGTGTGCCTAGTACTCCTGACACGGCGTTTGCCATCTCAAGGAGAATATCAGATTGCCTTCTAAGAAGGTGGAAAGAAATCACAACCAGGAGGGCATTACAGGCCCATATAGTCTCAAAGCCCTTTGACCATTGCAGAACATGGCCCACAAAAGATCTGGTGGAGCCCTAGCACGTTTTCCTCAGTGGTTAGAGCATCAGTCTGCGAACTTAAGGATCACTGCTATGATTCCAGTCAAGGGCATATAACTTGGTTAAAGGCTCAATCCCTAGCATGTGGGAGGCAGATGGTCAATGTGTCTCTCTCACATGGATGTTTCTCTCTCTGTCTTTCCCCATCTATTCCTCTCTCCCTTTTTAAAATATTTTTGTTGATTTCAGAGAGAAAAGGAGAGGGAGAGAGAGAGATAGAAACATCGATGATAAGAGAGATCCATTGATCTGCTGCCTCCTGCACATCCCCCACTGGAAATTGAGCCCATAACCCAGGTATGTGCCTTTGACTGGAACCAAATCAGGGACTCTTCAGAATGCTCTATCCCTTGAGCCAAACCAGCTAGGGCTATTCTACTCTCTCTTAAAAAAAAAAAAAAAATCAATGGAAAAGATAGCCTATGGTGAGGATTACCAAAAAAAATAAAATAAAAACAATTTTGGTGGATACTTCTTTTACCAGCTGATCAAACTTAGAACCAATAATGGACAAACATATATTATATGACTCCTGTTGTGAAACTGTGAGAACTTTATTAGCCTATGTTGTATGTTGATAGCTTTTTTTAAAAAAAATATATTTTATTGATATTTTTTTTTGCCCCCTCCCTCCCTCCCATACATACTCTCCCTCCCCAGAGTTTTATGTCCATTGGTTGTACTTATATGCATATATACAAGTCCTTCGGTTGATCTATTATCTCCCCCAGATCTTCCTCCCCTCCCCACTGTAATTTGACAGTCTGATTGTTGCTTTACTGTCTCTATATCTATCTTTTGGTTCATCAGTTTATAATGTTCTTTATTATCCATAAATGAGTGAGGTCATGTGGTGTTTCTCTTTCATTGATTGGCTTATTTCACTCAGCATGATGTTCTCCAATTCCATCCAGATTGCTGCAAACGATGAGAATTCCTTCTTTTTTATGGCAATAGTATTCCATTGTGTAGATGTACCATAGTTTTTGGATCCAATCATCTGCTGACGGGCACCTAGGCTGTTTCCAAATTCTGGCTATTGTAGATTGTGCTGCTATGAACATAGGGGTGCATATATCCTTTCTGATTGGTGTTTCTAGTTTCTTGGGATATATTCCTAGAAGTGGGATTACTGGGTCAAATGGGAGTTCCATTTTCAGTTTTTTGAGGAAACTCCACACTGTTCTCCACAGTGGTTGCACCAGTCTGCATTTGCACCAGTAGTGCACAAGGGTTCCTTTTTCTCCGCAACCTCGCCAACACTTGTCGTTTGTTGATTTGTTGATGTTGGCCATTCTGACAGGTGTGAGATGCGCATTGTTGTTTTGATTTGCATCTCTCGGACAATTAGTGACTTTGAGCATGTTTTCATGTGCCTTTTGGCCTTCCTTCTGTCTTCTTTTGAAAATATTCTATTTAGGTCCATTGCCCATTTCTTAATTGGATCATTCATCTTCCTTTTATTTAGTTGTATAAGCTGTTTGTAAATGTTGGAGATTAAACCTTTATCAGTGGTATTATTTGCAAATACGTTCTCCCATACCGTGGGCTTTCTTGTTGTTTTGTTGATGGTTTCTTTTGCTGTAAAAAAGCTTTTTATTTTGATGTAGTCCCATTTGTTTATTTTCTCTTTAGCTTCCATTGCCCTACAGGCAGTATTAGTGAAGAAGTTTTAAGTTCAAATCTAATCATGAGAAACCAGATAAATCCAGATTTTGGACATACATTAAGAAAACTGGCTTACACTCTTCAAAGTTCATGCCATAAAAAAAGTCAGAGAACTGTTCTAGTTAAATAGAGACTGAAGAGACATGATAACCAAAGTTAATGTGTGATCCATGATTGAAACCTGTGTTTGGAGAATAAAACTATTAAGGACAAACTACTGGGACAATTGGAGTCTATTCATTAGGTAATATTGTATCAGTATTTATTACTTAAGTATGATAATGTTATTGTTCTGTAGGAGAATATCCTTGTTATTCTAAATTTGTGTTCCAGTACATAGGAGTGAAATGTCATAATGTCTAAAATTTACTTTTTTGTTCCAAATTATAAGAAAGTTTATTTAGAAAGTTACAGAGGTAGTAGAAGTGAGTCAGCTGGGCTGCTTAGGCTAAGGTAACAAGTTACAGAGGCAGAAGAGAGAGCAAGGCAAAGCTAAGTAATGTGCCTGAGGGGAAGAAGAGGGGAAAGGGAAAAGTAAAGGCATGCTCCCCAGAGGGAGAACATGATGAAACTTTTTGTTTTTGTTTATTTTTTTTAACTAAAAATAAACATGTTTATTTCTGGGAGTTAGAATTACATTAAAAATTTTTTCTTTATTCTTTATTATATTTTCCAAATAATTAAAACTTACTTTTGAATAGTTCAGTAAAAATGAAAATATGTGTGTTTATATACAGTAGCTTTTCCTTATCTGCGGTTTTGCTTTTATTTTTTTATTTTTATTTATTTATTTTTAAAATATATTTTATTGATTTTATACAGAGAGGAAGGGAGAGAGATAGAGAGTTAGAAACATCGATGAGAGAGAGTCATAGATCAGCTGCCTCTTGCGCACCCCCTACTGGGGATATGCCCGCAACCAGGGTACATGCCCTTGACCGGAATCGAACCCGGGACCTTTCAGTCCCCAAGCCGACGCTCTATCCATTGAGCCAAACCGGTCCCGGCTGCTTTTATTTTTAATTTATGGTTAATTCTCACCCGAACATATTTTTCCATTGATTTTTTTTCTTTTTCTTTTTTTTTTTTTTTGAGAGAGTGAGTGGAAAGAAGAAGGAGAGACAGAGAGAAAAACATCTACTAGTATGTGAGATACATCAATTGGTTGCCTCCACATGTGCTCCCCAATCAGGACTGGGAATCGCACTTGCAACCAAAGTACATGCCATTTATTGGACCTGAACCCAGAACCTTTCCGTCCACGGATCTTCTATCCATGGAGCCAAACTGGATAGGGCTGGTTTTGCTTTCTGCAGTTTCAATTACCCAGAGTCAATTGTGGTCCAAAATATTAAGTGGAAAGTTCCAGAAATAAAAACTTAATGTTTTTTTTTTTTTTTAAACATTTTTATTGATTTTGTACAGAGAGGAAGGGAGAGTCATTGATCAGCTGCCTCTTGCACACCCCCTACTGGGGATATGCCCGCAACCAAGGTACATGCCCTTGACCGGAATCGAACCCGGGACCTTTCAGTCCCCAAGCCGACGCTCTATCCATTGAGCCAAACCGGTTTCGGCAAAACTTAATAAGTTTTAAATTGCATGAAATCTAGTCTGTCCCATTCTATCCCACCTGGGATGTGTCACCCTTTGTGCAGTGTATCCACACTATGTATGCTCCCCCTGCCTGTTAGTCACTGAGTAGCCATCTCAGTTACCCATTGAGTGTCAGTGTTTGTGTTCAAGTCAGCCTTACAGTAACCCATCACTATATCACAATGCCTAAGTCATTCACCTCATTCATCTCATCACATAGGCATTGTATCATCTCACATCATCACAAGGAAAGGGTGAGTGGAATAAGATAATTTGAGATAAAGAGACCACATTCACATAACTTTTGCTAGTTTATTATTAAAATTGGTTATTGTAAATCTCTTACTGTGCCTAATTTATGTTATGTATCATATGTATGTATAGGGGGAAACTATATATATGTATGTAAAACTATATATATGTATATATATAACTATGTATGTGTATATATATGTATATATATAAATATATATATATAACTATATATATGTTTGGTACTATTTGTGGTTTCAGGCATCTCCTATAGGTCTTGGAACATGTCCCCTACAGATAAGGGGGGACTACTGTATAGAGAAAAGCAAACGTTGCAAAATGGTAGCTAAAATTACAGCTTTGAACTAAAGAATGTGAGTAAACTGTACTATTCTTTCAACATTTTGGAGATTTTCACATTTTTCAAAATAAAAGTTAATGGATAACAAAAAGGAATGGGGCCTTTGGATTCTTGGTACATTGTCCATTGGCATTATGGTCACAGGTTTATTTTTCTCTAAGGAGTCCTTTCAAGAAGAAACTAGAGAACAATCAGGGAAGATTGTTGGCAGGTGTAAGATATGATGTGATGCCTGAGAAAGTAGGGCCTTTATTTAGGAGGATGGTCTTGGTATGCTTGGGCTTATAAAGGATAAGGATTGGCTTTAGGGGGCTTCAGAATGCTCCTGCCTCCAGGTTTAGAAGGCTAGGGTACTGTTAGTATTGCTAATTATGCAAGGCTTGGCTCTTCCAGGCTGGTTCTGTAGGCCCTGCCCAGGAGAGAAGAAACTCCAGGAAATATAGAACAGAGGTTTTTTGAATCAAACATTGATCACATTGAGAAGGTGTTAATACCAGAAGGTGGTGCCCAGTGATGTTGAGAAGACTGGTTTGATTTGCCTGGCTAATATTCCTGGCTATATTTATAGTATTCTGATTTTTAATCATCATAATATTTTTATTAACAATATATGTCTCTATTGAGAGTATGTATTATATATCAGGAACATAATCCTCATCTAATTATTATAGAGACTTTGCAAGGGAGGTTTTTAATCCATGAGCAAACTGAAGCCCAAATAGCTTAGGTGACCCTGTATCACACAGCTAGTAAGTGACAAAACTAGGATTTGAAAATATGTCTGTTTGGTCTTAAAGTCCTAGCAAGCCTACTCAGTGGATTATTTTACTCATGTCAGTACAAACTGGTGACTATTTCTTCAGAAAAGTCTTCTGTTAAAGAGTCTAATCTGGGGAGAACACTTTGCCTTCCAAATCTCTCTCTTGCCTTTGGGGAAATTATGACCTTCTCTGCCAGCCTGAATTTGATGGTATCAGGTGCTCTGATAGGCAATACCAATTTGTCAGTGGTTTGAATGTGGTAAGTAAATGTGAGCTGCGTGGTACAATGTAGTGACTTGTTGAATAAGCTGGGAGTCAGAGATGGGGCAAGGGTATTCCCATTTTCTCTTTGATGTGCATACTACGGTAATGCATATCTGTTACAGAAATTGAAGATGAAAATCACTCATAAATCTGAGACCCATAGATAACGTTAACATTTTTCAGCATTTCCTTCTAAACCTTTTTCTATGCATATAAATAGGTATAGACCTATAAAATATCTTAACAAAATGAGCTCTCTTTATACATTCTCTTTTTTCACTTGATGATATTATGTGCACTCCTTTCCAGAGCAAAAGATGCAGATCTTATATTACTATATGGATTGTTTAAATTAGGGATATGTGATACTTTAATCCTCTTTTCTTAGACATTTAGTTTGTTTTCAAGACTTCACAGTGTCCACTTCTGCACAGAGAAAATTCTAGTGTCATACAATGTTGGTGCTTGCTAAAAAGGTTAGCAAAAATGGTAGTGAAACCTGCAAACTTCCAGGACAAAATCAACCTTTGTGCTTCCCTGAAATCAGAAGAGGAAAAAGCACTAGGAAAGTAAAAGGAACTACCCTGGGTTGTTACTTCTTTGATTGAAAAGGAGTTGGCTGGCCCACGAGTATCTTCAAAGTTCCCTCAGAATGCCCATCCTGTGCAGGTTGTAAGACAGAAGGATAACCTGATGACATGGCCCTTGTCCTTAGCATTATGTTTGCTGAGATGTGATTAATTCTCACAAAGTAAAATGACTAGTGTAAGATCATATACATTAAATGGTTAAGCTGTTTTGATCTAGCTGTGCCATCAAGATCTGAGACAAGAAGAAGTCCTACAAGGAGTGTGGTGGTCAGAGAAAGCTGCAAGGGAGAGAGGCAGCACTTGAAAAAGAGTAGAAAGTGAAAAGCCTTGGAGATGAGAGATGGCTTGAGCAAGGGAATAGAAGCAGAAGTCAGCATGATGTGTCTATATTGCGATGAAGCAATTTTTTAGAAAGATTAAACAGGCAGGGGTATCCAGAATAGATTGGAAGAGAGAGTCCTGTTCAGAAAAGTAAACCAAGCTGGAAGCACAGTAACTCAGACTGTGCTTGGTTGGTTCTCATAGCAGTGAAATTGAGTAAGGAGAGCAGGATGGGAATAAAAAACAAAAACAATTCAAAGACAAAAATCTCAAGGACCTGTTAGATAAAGAAAATGGGTAAAGATCCTGGCCAAAATGGGTAGCACAGTTAGAGTGTCATCTTGATATGCCAAAGTTCTCTCCCTCCCTTTCTCTCTTCCTTCCCCCCCCCCCTTCACCCCTTTCTCAAATCAATACATTTAAAAAAAAAAAAATTTAGAAAAAATGGGTCAGAATTGGCTTCAACTTTTTTAAAAAATATATATTTTATTGATTTTTTACAGAGAGGAAGAGAGAGAGAGGAATAGAGAGTTAGAAACATCGATGAGAGAGAATCATCAATCAGCTGCCTCTTGCACACCCCTACTGGGGATGTGCCCTCAACCAAGGTACATGCCCTTGATCAGAATCGAACCTGGGACCCTTCAGTCCGCAGGCCAACGCTCTATCCACTGAGCCAAACCGGTTTTGGCTGGCTTCAACTTTTTAAGACTGGGTGATTGAAGAATGCCAGTACTGTGAATAGAGATGGGAAAGTGTAGAGAGAGAGCTAGTTTTGAAGGAGGAAGCTGAATTGCAAATACGTTGAGTCTGAGGAGATGATGGGACATGGAAGGGGACAGTTCACTTGGCAACTGGTGATTGATTATAATGTTTAGATGAAATGAAAAGAGCTACAGACTTGTATACAGTTGACACTGTCAGTCTGGATATGATAGTTGAAGTCCTGGTAATAAAACTGAGAAGTTGAGTAACAATGCTTCTCAGACTGTAACCTACCTACAGTTCCTTCTGGGACCTTGTTAACATTCAGATGTGATTTCTAACACACTCATGTATCTTGTCTTCTCCTTTCATTCCAGGCCCTTTAGAGAATACTTACCGTGATTTTTGGCTCATGGTATGGGAGCAAAAAGTCTTGGTGATTGTCATGACCACTCGGTGAGTTCATCACTTTTCTTCCCACTGTTCTCTCCTCCCACAATGCCCCCCGCCCCACACATATATCATGGGTGATTGCAAAGAGGCATTTAGCTCTTAGACACAATGAGGGTTAAGAAAGCCATGGCCAAGAGTTTGAGATGTCGAAGCCCTTTTTTTTTTTTTTTTAGCTGATCCAAAGTTAGCACAGCCAGGGTATGGTGAAAATCAATAGATCTAATTTGTCAAAGCTTTAATTCATGGCTCTGTTAAAGCCTATCCTGATCTTATCCACTAAAGGAAGTATTAGGAAACACAGGACAATTCACTTTGAATACTTCCAAAAGACAGCTGTATAAAAAATAATATGAAGGGCAGTGACCGTCACTCCATTTAAATTATACTTAAAAAGTCAGACACTGACATGCCAAGTGTGGTATCTGAATTACCGGTTCCCCTTTGTTCTCTCTTCCCCTGCTACTTTGACCATTTTCTGCTCATGAAGGCAGGATGCTCTTGATAAAAATAGTATTTTTGAAATTTTGGTGTACACATCTGCCAAAACTTAAGGAATTACTATTTCATTAGTATTACTATTATCATTATGATAATCGTAACCTATTTCAGATGAGGAGAAAAGAATTGATGAGAATGTTAGCTCATTTTGCTTTCTCAAGGTACTGTCACAACCACCTTTGATTGGAGAGGAGGCTGTGGAAGAAGTGTCACCTTGGAGTAATTTGGAGCCACTGATATATTAAGAGGTGGACTTTAGGCCTTAACACAGACCTCAGGGCTGGCATCTTAGGAGCTGTGCCTTTCCTACTCTCCTATCCCTCAGGGCCCTCATTGGGGAAGATAATGAACAGTGGCTGAAGGTACAAGGCAGAGAGTTCAATCTGGCCCACCACATTTTATCTACTGTCTTTATTTGTCCACCCAGTATTTATCCCAGATATGTGAGGAGTCCCCAGAGGAAAGGGGTCAAATGATATATTATAGTAGGTGCTTGGTAAAAGTCTGCATAATGAGTACAGGCAGAAATTTTTGTTGTTACATCTGTTTAGAATGAAGGTTTTCTTTCTTTTCTGCCAAAAAAGCAAGGGTATAAATTAGAAACAAAGTAAGAGGTGATACTACTGCCCCTGGGGAGGGCATGGTTAATGGTGTGGAGAGGAAGGGCGGAAGGCTTACCTTGCTCTGTGTATCTTCAGCTTTGAGGAGGGCGGCAGGAGGAAGTGTGGTCAGTACTGGCCTTTAGAAAAAGACTCTCGGATCCGATTTGGCTTCCTCACAGTGACCAATCTAGGCGTGGAGAACATGAACCATTATAAGAAAACAACGCTAGAAATTCATAACACAGAGGTAAATCCAGGTTTCTATTTTCTCATTTTTTTGAAGCTAAGGGAGAACCATTACTGTAAAGAAAATATCCAAAAGGAAATAGGCAGGATTCCAGGGGGCCTATAAGTTACTTTCATTTTTTCTGGGAAGAGGATCAGGATATTTAATTCAGAGCCAATATAATAGTGGCATTAAGTAGGAATAAAATTTAGAAGAAATCTGGATCATACAAATAGGAATTCTGCCTTTTCCAGACATTAAACCTTTCCTTTGGGTTTGTAGAGAAGCAGTTGTGGAGAAAGTTGAGGGTGGTAGGCAAGAATCTTGCTGATAGAGATCCCAAGATGTCAAGAACTAGAAAAGCTGAAGGTAGTCAGGGCAAGCAGAAGTGACCTCTAACTTTTTCTTATTTTTCTATCCAAGGAGCGGCAGAAACGCCAGGTGACTCACTTTCAATTCCTGAGCTGGCCAGATTATGGTGTACCCTCCTCAGCAGCTTCCCTCATTGACTTCTTGAGAGCAGTCAGGAGGCAGCAGAGGTTGGCCGTCAGCAGCATGGGTGCACACGCCAAAGGGCAGTGCCCTGAACCACCCATTGTGGTCCATTGCAGTGCAGGCATTGGCAGGACAGGTAATAATGCACCTGATGCAGCTCTCATAGCCTCTGGAGGCAGTAAGTGTCGGGGAGGAATAACCAAGCTCTTCCTTGCTATGTTGAGAATTTGGATCAGTGGAGGTGAATTGTTATGAAAAATTCTTCTTTAATGTATTTCTGGTATCCCTAGTGCTAAGTGTGTGTCCAGAACATACACTTCACAAGCCAAGTTCTCTGGGGGTTGGTGTTTTATACATCCCATCAGCATGGTCATCTTCTGACCCCATCAGTCACCTGGGTGTCTCAGAGAGCTCAGCAGCTGTACTCCTCTTCCTCCCCATCTCTCTCCTTGGGGAGGTTCCCGCCTTGTTTTCTCTCTCCATTCTGGATCCAGTGAGCAACTTTAGCCTTAAGGGAATGATTATTGAAGGGACTGTCATTTCTCATCAGAGATCCCTTTGGGAGAAGGTCAGGAAGAATAGGTTGGTGTTAGGCCTCTGTGGAGAAATTGTAGAGTCTGAAAATTAGGGCCCAGGTGTCGGAGTGCTGTTGTTTTATCAGGATTGTCACTTTCCCACCTCTTCCTATTACCTCCATGTATATGCACTCTTATTTCACTGGCCTCCAGCACCCACTGTGCCCTCTTCCTTGACTCTTTCAGGTCTAAGGCCCCTTGCCTTTAAATTCAGTAATCTAGTTCTCCCTGAGTTATTTGGTAGAGGGGTGGGGAAAGGAGAGGTAGGTCACATATGACTGTTTCCTTTCTTCCTTCAGGTACCTTCTGCTCACTGGACATCTGCCTGGCACAGTTGGAGGAGCTCGGTACCCTTAATGTGTTCCAGACGGTGTCCCGCATGAGGACCCAGAGGGCCTTCAGCATTCAGACCCCTGAGCAGTACTATTTTTGCTACAAGGCAATCCTGGAGTTTGCAGAAAGGGAGGGCATGGTGCCATCCAGCCACAACATCCTGGCTATGGAGAGTCAGTAACTGTCCCATGAGCCTCCTCCTGCTAGCCAGCCTTCTTCCTTAAACTCCCTGGACACCGCTGAGCCTATGGGCTGCCATCAGTTACACTGAAGCCATGGATGAACTTCTTTCTTATATCTCCTGGTGTACACAGGGCGGCCTTTCCTTTTGGCTAGGTAGATACGGTGAAATGGTTACTAGAAAGGGCCAGCAGCAATGTGTTCTTAATTCCTAGCACCTGCCATTGAACTGTGCCTTATTAAAACCAAATTGTGGCTATTGATTTTTGCTAGAGGCTCTAAGCAAGGTAAGTGAGAAAGGAACCTGCCCGCTCTCCTTTCCCAATGCCTTCTCCTTCTGGAGATCTCTTTCCCATTCCTTCCCCATTACTAGGATTTGATGGGGAGGTTTGGTGAGCATCCACCTTCCTTCCCAGAAAGCTTGACCAAGTTATATGTTCTAGAGAAAGTCCCGAGTGCCAAGCACGTTTATACCTAGAGCGTGTATTCGAATCTCTTCTGTTAGTGTATGTGTGCACGCACTTATGTGTATGGATCCATATGTACGTGTGTATATAAATATATATTGTATGTGACAATATGGTGGTATTCTGTAAATACATATACACACAGTTACTCCTTTATAAAAGTTCCTGGGGCTCCCTGTTGTACTGTTTATCTGGACTAGCTGGGGTTGGGGATCATGTCTCCTGTTGTCAGACCACAGAGTGGTGGAAGAGGACACAGGAATATCTACTCTTCGTGTTTTTGCCACAGGCCTTCATCCTTACATAATGACTTATCTCACTCCAGAATGCTACCTTTTGGAGCCAAAAATACTGGTTTGTGGTGACACTGGTTTAATTCAGCTTAGATTACCCTTACCTAATGATTTCCTCTGTTTACTTTGTTGATTTTGGTAATAGACCTCCACTGTGATTCTTTTTTCTGTCCCAATCCCTCGGGGATTTGAAGCCTGGGAGAAGAGATGAACTCACTAAGCAGCCAGAGCCAAAAGCAATTTCTTAGAAGGAGGGAGAAGGAGCCTAGGTATGAGAAAGAAAACTACTATGAGAATCTGTCCCTGGGAGAATGTGGTAGGGTCCCTTTTTCTTTTGCCAAAAGGTTCCTTTCCTTATGCAGCTTGGTCCTTTCCACTCAAATAACCATTTCTTTCTGCCTAATAACCTGCCAGACCCTGGAGCTCGAGCTGTGTGGGTTCTGTGACAGTAAAAATCTTAACTCCTGACTGGGTATAGCAGTCCTCCTGCAATTACTATTTCCTTCCCATTCACCCAACCTATTCCTGTCTGCTCCCAGCCTAACTGCCTGATATGCCAGGGATGGAATCGAGTCCCCAGTGTTCCATATTCCCAAGATAATCCCAGGAACCCCTAAAGCTTCCTCCATCACAGATGAGGTTGGTAGCTGATCAGACCTCAATAATTTTATACTGTAATAAGCTCTTGAATGTATATGTTCTTATTTTACAATCTTTTCCTTTTGTATTTAATGTCAATGAATTGAGTCAGATTCAGAAAATAATTGTAAATGTTCATATTCACTATCTTATTCCAATAGTTTTGTGTTTACATATAAATATACTGACATGATCAAACTCCTTTAGCTTCATCAATTTAGTAGCAGTGTTGGGTTGGGAAGGTAAGGAGAGGGTCTAAGAGCTGGTTTGGGAGAGTTAGAGAGGCAGGGAGGGACCCAAGGCCTCAATATCTGAGACTTTCAGGTCTGAAAGCCATCTATCTACCTTGCCTGTAGGCCATGACCTTACCTCTGGATCCATACCAGTTGAGTGCTCTGGGTTGCCAATCTCTATGCTTGGTGCTTTTCTTCTTATTACCTCATTCAAACCTTACAACAATCCAATGAAAGATTATTCTCTCTTCATTCTATTTCTAAATAGATGAAGAAGGTGAGGTCCAGAAGGTCACAGTGATTTGCTCTAGAACTAGAGCTGAAGTTGGTCTGCTTACAAAGCCTTTGGCCTCTTCACTGCATTGCTTTCTCAAACATACAGTGTTTTATCTTTTGAAACTAGATCTTTTTTGTAGTTCTCTTTTAGAGCATACACATTGCTTAAAATTCCAGGTAATTGATCTTGAACTTATGTTGCACGTAGTAAACTAGAAGGGTGACAGAGTTGGTGACTGATTCTCCCAAATAGGATCTCCTTATGTAGGGTTTTCAGATCTGTAGAGTACTAAAAGGGTCATTTTTCTAGGGACACTACACGCTTATGGGCACACTCGTGTTTGTGAGAAGATCTTGTGTCATTTGCATTTCTCTTAGAATGGAACCAGAGCTTTATCCATGCAGGCCTTTTCCCATTGCCAGATAGCTACTTCCTATTGACAGCCTACCAAACTGGGACTGTTCTGGCCTAGAGTGTGTGCAAATATTGGAGTGTTTTTAAAAATTATAGCAGTTAACATTTACTGGGTGCTTGACTTTCCAGGTGTTTAAAGTGCTTTCTAGGTATTATTTCATTCACCCTCAAAAAATTAAAAAAAAAAAAAAAGATATATATATATATATATATATATATATATATATATATATTTAATTGATTTCAGAGGAAGAGAAAGAGAGATAAACATCAGTGATGAGAAGGAATCATTGATTGGCTGCCTCCCACACGCTCCCAACTGGGGATCAAGCCCACAACCCAGGCATGTGCCCCTGTCTGGGATCGAACCCGGGACCCTTCAGACCACAGGCTGACACTCTATCCATTGAGCCAAACTGGCTAGGTCCAAAACAACCTTTTGAGGTAGGTATTGACAGGAGAAAACTGAAGTACAGGAAAATTAGTTTGTCACTAAGAACCTGGACCATCTGCTGTTAATATTAACTCTTACACTAGGTTCCCTCTGAGGATTCATCTCCTGATTTGCCAACAAATTTTTCTTGAGTTTCCGACTTAAGACCTGAACTGTCGAGAAAATAATTAAGCCAGAAAATGATTAGTAATTTTCTGGATGATTCTTTTATTCTCTTAAGGACAGGAAGCATGAATGGTGAACAGAGATACCTGAAATCTGGGAGATCAGAGAGGGCAGTTTTTGTGAAATGTATAGGAAATAGGATTAAATTATAAAGGATCTATTTGTAGGAAGTAGACTTGAACTGTCATTTATTTGATGAGGCTGTAATCCATTGCTCTATAAATTCAGGTTTCTCATGAGCTCCTCCTTGTATGTCTTGAGTGTTGGTGAAGTTATCATTTCTAAGAGCTCTATAAAGATGCAGATTCCTGCCGAAACTGGTTTGGCTCAGTGGATAGAGCGTCGGCCTGTGGACTCAAGGGTCCCAGGTTGGATTCCAGTCAAAGGTATGTATCTTGGTTACAGGCACATCACCAGTAGGGGGTATGCAGGAGGCAGCTGATCAATCTTTCTCATCAATATTTCTAATTCTCTATCCTCTTCCTCTCTGTAAAAAAATCAATAAAATGTGTTTGTTTGTTTTTTAAAAGATGCAGATTCCTGGATCCTGCCCAGTACGTGATTAAGTAACTGACAGAATAAGCCAGGTATCAGAAGCACTGTATTTGTCCATATCCCTGACTCTGAGGAAGTTTAATAAATTGATGTCTTCCAAACCTGAAAGAAAGAGATAAACAGCCCCATTGCCATAGTTACTTGTAGCTTTCACCACTGGGAAGATAATCAGTAGGCTCAGTGTGAGCCTATCTATTTTAAGTGTTAAAGGAGGCAAAAAGGAGGAATACAGAAAAGAAGCCCCAAATCTGTTCAGGAAGTCAAGGCTTTCACATAGGAGATTTGGTCAACAAAGCAAGAGAACCCACAATCAAATGATGGATTGTACAGTTGTGAACATAAGATGACAAAGTGTCCAGGGAAGAGAGCATTGTGGGCTAACTCAGGCTTCTATTTCTAATTTGATTGCTATTTTTAACCTAATTTATACTTCCTCTAGCATTGGTCCCTTTGTCCTGCCTATCCCTATAAGCTAGGATGGGACTCCTGAGGGAAAAGGTGCCACAGCACCCACAGCCTAGGAGATCCGTCATTGTCAGTCTCCACGTCACCATTTGCAGGTAAATGACAAAATGGGACTGGTTCCTGTGAAGCTGGGCTATTTTAAGCATTGTAGCTTGATAAGATGGGACCCCTGTCCTTAAAGATGTCCCCTAGGAATAACCAGACACACATACGGAAATGCACAAATCAGAGATCTAGAGGGAGGTGGGCCAGATAAAAAAGCTTGCCTGAAGTGACTGAGCTATTTGATAATTTTGAGGTCTCACCACTTAACCCAAGTATCAATTCCTAGCTTCCTTTTGTAAAATAAGAGGCCACATTAGATTATCTCACTATAGGCCGTCCAGTGGAAGTGAATATATGCTGAGTAACAATCAAGACCTCCAGGTGGGTCAACTCCCACTTCCCTATATTCACTCAGTTCTCTACCCACTTGGCCCCCAACTTGGAAAACGGGTCAAATAACCCTGTAATCCATAAATCAACCCATAGACCTTTAAGGCTTTCATGCTGCTCCGTGTGGGGCAGAGTGACTTAAGAGTCAATGAATGGCCGAGACCAGTTTGGCTCAATGGATAGAGCGTCGGCTTGGAGACTGAAGGGTCCCGGGTTCGATTCCGGTCAAGGGCATTTACCATGGTTGCGGGCATATCCCCAGTAGGGGGTGTGCAAGAGGCAGCTGATCGATGACTCTCTCTCATCGATGTTTCTAACTATCTCTCTCCCTTCCTCTCTGTACAAAATCAATAAAATATATTTTTTTTAAAAAAAAGAGTCAATGAATGAATTAACTAAGGACCCAAACTCCCAGCCAAGGTCATAGATTTGTCTCAGGTTTTGGTCACTACTCACTTAGTACTGTTAGCTTACTGAGGGCACGAGCTAAAGCTTGGGAACCAGATTTTCTCTTGGGAGGTATTTGTTCCCATAGTTACCATTACAAAATAGTGGTGAATATTAAATACACTGAGTGGCCAGATTATTATGACCACCTGACGTT